ACTACACCCTCATACACACACTGGACCCATATACACTCCATGTATACACTGCACTCCCATGCACACTACACCCCTAGTTCGGACAACTGTATGAGTTGTTTTTTCTGAACTCAAACCTCAGTATTCAGGTTTTTACTACTGTGTTGGCACCTTGAGGAAAAATGTTGGTTTGTATTGCGATTTGTATTGCGGAATGTTAGCCATCACTGCTATAGGCTATGCAGTTTTCTATTTTATAATATTTGGTGACACCATTGTGTAATGTCTATATGTATTATTACAGGGCTTGACAAATCCCAAACTTTTTATCTAAAATAGCCAGCTGGGCAAATAATGGAGCCAGCCTTCCACCCGTGAGAGCATATAGGCGGCTCAGTGGAGCATCAAGGCGGTCGGCTGGGGCAGCACGCAAGAGGGAGACATGTAGAGGTGGAGACATCAAAAAAGTTTTGGGCAAAAAAGAAATGGAATGGGCTTATAATCTAAAAATCCTTGCCCCTACAGTTTTTAATATTGATTTTGATCTTTTTCATTTTTTTATAAAACAATTAATTTTTGATTCTCTTAACCTTTTAGCTATATATTTTACTTATTTTTATTTTATAATATGCTCTTATGCTTTGCAATATTATCTGGTTTATAATTGTATATTTTTTTATATGCTTTTTATATATTTATACCAGTCAAACGTTACCTCCTTTTACAGAGGAATGTGTGTAAAAGAGTGGTCTAAACAAATAAAGGTGATTTACAGGCAGCTCAATACACTTTTGTGGAAATATCCTCTATTCCACAAGATAAAATTGTAGTTATAAGTGCGGTTTAAGTAGCAGAAAGACTTATACCAATAAGTAGAGCGCTCCAACACATATATGGCTTACCAAATGATATTGCACTCAATGGTAAAGTATAAGGTACATGTAAAGGAAAAAAATACAAGAAAGGACAATATAGTGCAGACGGTATTTCCAATGGTAATTTAACCTTAATAGTATAGTTAGATGAATGGAACACTCACATTTTAAGGAGCCTGTATATAAAAAAGACTGGCTCCGTATTGTGGCTTGTGTGCTTATTAGGGTAGCACCGCCCGTCTCCTTCAGATGATTCTCAAAGACAAAAACAGGAAATACGAACCAATGTGTAGATATTTCTTCTGGTAACACAATGTGATATAAGTAAATGGTGTGCTCACCTGGTCCTGAGCCTGTGGGTCCAGGCTCTAGGTGTATAGATATTGTACCAATTTGAATGGGGATGGCACTACCCCTGGAAGATTCTCTTTGAGGCCCCAAAAGGACTTAGGCAAGGATCTTAAATAAAATGATAAATTTATTCAAGTATAAAAAACAAATAAAAATCAAATAAAAACAATAAGTATAAAAGTCCTTGGTGAAAAAGTCCTTTGGAAATAGCCAATACGCGTTTCACTCCTTTGTGGAGCTTCCTCAGTCAGCTGTGATGTTAGTCCTCTGGATCTTCCATTTCAAATGTTTTTTGGGGGCCTCCCCTTTAATGAGTGCAATCCATATTGGCCAATCACAATGAAGTTTACATTTCCTATATGCAGTAAATTGCGTGTGTATCCCTTTAATTGGTTAAGACTTCTGGCGCCTATATTACCTCTAAATTTCATTGGTGGCCTGTGGTGGTTGGCAGTTCGTATTTCCTGTTTTTGTCTTTGAGAATCATCTGAAGGAGACGGGCGGTGCTACCCTAATAAGCACACAAGCCACAATACGGAGCCAGTGTTTTTTATATACAGGCTCCTTAAAATGTGAGTGTTCCATTCATCTAACTATACTATTAAGGTTAAATTACCATTGGAAATACCGTCTGCACTATATTGTCCTTTCTTGTATTTTTTTCCTTTACATGTACCTTATACTTTACCATTGAGTGCAATATCATTTGGTAAGCCATATATGTGTTGGAGCGCTCCACTTTTTTATATATTTATGTTTATATGTACTGTCCTTTTAAATCCAACTCTCATTATTTAGTAGACATATTGCTTGATTAGCCATATGTTCACTAAACAAGTTGTTATGTCTGGTTTTATACATTTTGTATGCACCTATTTGCTAGGTTCTTGTTTCCATGTGCATCCACTATATTACTGTAATAAGTGCCCATTTTGGGCTTTGAACTTGTGCCATGTGTAGGCAGATGCTGGTTTGGCTGTCTGCCTGCTTTTGTAGGCAGACAGTCTGATTACTGTTTCCCTGCCATTCACTCCTAGGATCCATCGATCCTCCCAGACAGTGCACCCCCTCCACGTCATCCCTGGATGACACATGCGTTCCACTAAGATGGAACGCATGCGTTCCATTTAGCATCACGTGACGCGGAAGTGTTTTTAGCCGCGCATCACGTGATCGCCTTTTAATTGTTATTTTAGTCATTTTAAACCCTCATTTTGCAGTCCCACTAGCTGCACCTACTTTATTTTACTTATGTCTATACAATATTATGTTTTAATTGCCATTTTTAATTTGTACTATGCTAATGAGATTCCGATGACGTCATTATGGCGGGAAATTCAAATTTCACTACTATTATTGTATCCTATATAAACCCATGTATGTCAGGTTGTGTCCTTTTTACTATTATATACTTGAAGAAGCCTTTTTAGGCGAAACATGTTTAGATATTGTTTTACTACTTTATAATAAAAGAAATTATTTTGGCATACATTATTTCATTGCCATATTTTCTTTTTTTACCTGACTACATAAATATAGCATACCCTATAAGAAGCATAAAGAATCCACAGGTGGGGATTATACCACCCAAACGCTTACACCGAGCAGTACAAGCCTGCTCTAAATAATGTGAGTAATATATTTTATACTTTTATAAAATCTTTTATTCATAAAACAGAGAGCACTATATTTTATCCTTTTACTTATGGGTCGAACAATACCATATCTGCCAATCAAGTATTACCTCATATATCCTTGAGTGTGGATTATTACACTTCATGCGTGCAATATCAGAGCCGGATTTTAGCTCTGAAAAGTGTGAGTAATACTACTATTACTACCTTGTAATTTTATTCACCTATATACTGTGCCATTGGAGTCCTGTTCTTGTCTTTCTTTTTTTACATATGCTCCACTGAATTCCAAGCATACAACCATGAAGATTTACTTCATCCTATAATAGGTAAACTAGAAAAATGGTCAGAATTGTGGCAACTGACATTTAATGTGGATAAGTGCAAGATAATGCATCTTGGACGTAAAAACCCAAGGGCAGAGTACAGAATATTTGATAGAGTCCTAACCTCAACATATGAGGAAAGGGATTTAGGGGTGATTATTTCTGATGACTTAAAGGTAGGCAGACAATGTAATAGAGCAGCAGGAAATGCTAGCAGAATGCTTGGTTGTATAGGGAGAGGTATTAGCAGTAGAAAGAGGGAAGTGCTCATGCCATTGTACAGAACACTGGTGAGACCTCACTTGGAGTATTGTACACAGTACTGGAGACCGTATCTTCAGAAGGATATTGATACCTTAGAGAGGGTTCAGAGAAGGGCTACTAAACTGGTTCATGGATTGTGGGATAAAACTTACCAGGAAAGGTTAAAGGATCTTAACATGTATAGCTTGGAGGAAAGACGAGACAGGGGGGATATGATAGAAACATTTAAATATATAAAGGGAATCAACACAGTAAAGGAGGAGACTATATTTAAAAGAAGAAAAACTACCACAACAAGAGGACATAGTCTTAAATTAGAGGGACAAAGGTTTAAAAATAATATCAGGAAGTGTTACTTTACTGAGAGGGTAGTGGATGCATGGAATAGCCTTCAAACTGAAGTGGTAGAGGTTAACACAGTAAAGGAGTTTAAGCATGCGTGGGATAGGCATAAGGCTATCCTAACTATAAGATAAGGCCAGGGACTAATGAAAGTATTTAGAAAATTGGGCAGACTAGATGGGCCGAATGGTTCTTATCTGCCGTCACATTCTATGTTTCTATGTTTCTACATCTCAAGAGTCCTCTTTCAACACGTGGATCCTATCATTTTGGACTTATGATAAGTTAGTTTGGAGTACTGTTAACCATTCATTTCATATTATATTTTATCATCATTTTATAATTTATATTTTATCATTATTTTATAACATATTTTATTATATGTTTTAGGCGCACCCTTATTCTATTGTGTGTTTTCTTGTGTTTTATCTCATTGTTAGGGTGTGCAGCCGTTTTACTACATTTCTCTGTGGCAGTTTAGCGCTGATGTTTTCTTTTTGTTTCTTCCAGTTTTTCCTCATAATAAACAACCCTTTAAGAAATTCTTTATAATTAGGTTCGTAACAAAATTATAGTATATGATCCCATTCACAGACTAATGTGTTACAATTAACATTTGAGCTCTAATTATTGTTTATTATCATTTTATAACAATTGGTTATTTAGATCAGACCACAAATCTGTGTTGGTTTTTGATTTAAGATAACAATTATTTGATGCAGACTTTAAAAGACTAGTTTACTAATTATTTAGCATAAAATCATGCATGATTCCTTTCTGTTTTAGTAGGTGTCGAAACAGTCTGTTTATTCACTGATAAGATGCTATTAACTTGTTATGCAAATTATAGAGAATGCAATTTGAATTTTTGGTTTTCACAACCAACACAACTGTTTTCAAATGTTTAATGTAATAAAAAGAGAAATCAAATAAATTTAAATATATATATATATATATGGTCATAAGGCAACTTAACTACATAAGGTAAATACAATTAAAAGTACACAATCCGAATGTGAAATTGTGTTCTCTTACAAACACATGTTGGGAAATGAGACTAAGATTGTTTCCTTTGTGAATGCATATAGGAGATAAGACTGGGTTTATTAGAAACAAAAATGGAGGTAAAAGTTATCAGTATAACAGGATAAAATACTTCACTTTGTAAAAGAATATTATAATGAAGAACACACTGAAGGCATACGTGGGCTGAAATTGATATTGTATTTGTGTTGAAGCACATCGGTAGTGAAAATCAAAACAGCACCACCGTAGAGACTGGTGACTATAGACTGTCCAGGAAAGATGCATACATTAGAGATGTGCATTTTATCCAGTACTGACACAAAGGTTAATAAAGGATGATATACTCGGATGAAATAATTTAGAGAAAAAAAATATCCTTGAAGTGTGATGGCAGATAATAGAAGCATACGAACATGAAAGGTAAGGATAAATGCCTAAATATCTCCCAACTCTTCACTATTGATTTGTTTTCTCTGCACTGTTAATTTTTGGTTCCATTCTCTCTTGTATTGTCAGGAGCAGAGGAAATAATTGTATCTTCTAGAATCTAGACTGAGTATCAATGATAGAACGTTACAAAAGTGGGTTGATAGATGTCTGTCTCACTCTTGGCACACAAGAAAAATGATGGACGGAGTGCTGACACCAGAGAAAATGTATTCACCTGATTATGGTGAGGCTTAATTCTAGAGTGGTGTGACCACCTCCTTGGAATCTCCAGGAGATTATACACAAACAATGAGTAATGTCACAGGCTTATGAGATCACAGATTGATCACTGTTTCAGAGAAGTTTGGAGTTTCAGGAATTTGTTAGACATTGCTGCAAACTGTTGGTAAAGCTGTTGGTGTAAGGTATTAAGGTGCCACAAGTAGGGTTGCTGGATGTTACTGGATATCCAAATCAAACAGACGAAATTGTAGGTCTTTGTATCTTCACCTGATAAGAAAATAATGTAGAATAACACAGAGTTAAAACAAAAAACAAAACAGCAATAAACTGAGCCAGTAATAAATGGGTCAAATGCCTGAAAACAAACAAACAAACATTTGATACATGTCACAGTTTTTGTGGATCCCGATAGGTAGACAAACACAATCAGAACGGCCTTTCAGTAGAGGCAGGAAAAAAACCTTAGTGAAAAGATAAAACAGCAGGTTTGTACTGATGTGAAATAATTTTTGATGTGCATTTTATGTCATGGGTAAAACACCAAATACAATAAAACTATATAAATAATTTATCAATCATTACATGGAATTATATATATCACTTAAGTTGCGATTAACTGTAATATGTGACTGGATTATTTACAACTCAACATTTACTACTCGGACACACACACACTGCTAAGAATGGATTTGATCTTCCCACATACACAGACAAGAAATGTAGAACCATAGATATAACAGCAAGTAAAATCCTGACACACTTAAGCTGCTATACCCTATCTAACAATCCATAATTTGTCTTGTAATTGTTTTTTCATCTACTGGTCAGTATAACACTTTACAAAGACTGTTTATTCCAAGCCTTCTTGCCCAACTCATTTACTGCATTAAGGTATTTGACTATTCTAAAATCATCTGTGTACTTTATTTACCGTGTAGTTTGAAAAGTGTAACTACAAATTCACTTGAGGCTTAAAATGATCCAGGTTTTTTAATATAATGATTTTTTTTGATTTTTTTTGTTGAAACGTATGTTATAATGACATTGGCAGTGTGTCAAAGTTCTGATACTTCAAATACAAATTTGTGGAGTTCACATACTGATACACATTAGTTAAATGATATTCATAACATCAGTCATTAAAGTAAATTACAATTGTATGTGCAAAATAGTTTAACTAGAAAATCTCCAAGTCAGATATGCTTCCAGTTCAGCTACTTTGGCCTTAAATTATGAAATATCGCTGCTGGCAATTTATCTCAATTTCAGCTTCAGGCATTTCACAAAGCCCTCCCTACTGCCTCACGACTAGCTACTGCCACACCTCTGTTTCCGGACCTAACCATGGATTTAATGATCTTTTATCTCACGGCCGTAAACGAACACAACTGTCACTCTCGGACAATACACGACGATCGTATGATAGGGCATTCCAATTATTCACTAGGTTCATCTCAGAACATCACATATCCAATGCCATGTAACCTTTGATGATCTTTGCCTCTTTTTGCCACCTTAGATTTAAACTCTCATACAATACCATAAAATTATATCTGACCAGCATACAATATAGCCCAACAAACCAAATTATTCTGATCCCTATCAGAGCGGTTGGACTCTGCCCCCTTCAAACCTCATACTAACCAGGTCATAGAGACAGCTATTTATCTTACATTCTATGGTTTTCTCAGGCCAAGAGAGTTCAACACAAATTCACACCCATCATTGTCTCAATACAGATCAAGACTATTACATTCTTTCCATACCCCGCTCTAAAACAAGCAAATGGGCCAAAGCGTTGACATTCCATACTGCCCTTTGCATAAGAAACTACCTATTCTCCCCACATAATCATCCCTCACAACTCCTATTATCACTACATGGGCCAGTTCTTATTACTGCAAAATATATGCTACACATCAAGACATTAATCATGAATCTGAACCCTTCTCATTATTCAGGTCTTTCAGGTCGCTCTTTCGGAGTACGGGCGGCATCCACTGCATCAAGCAGGAACATACCTGCACATATTATTAAAACACTAGGATGCTGGAAGCCTATTTGCGGTACTTTCCACAACCTGTACAAGAACTCTGTGAAGCCTTTATCAATATAACTTTGTAAATAAGTGTAATAATGATTGTTGATTGTAATAAATATATGCATGGTATTTCCTTTTTGCCCTTTTTATTTACAAGTCTATCACATCGTCGATTCCGGCAAACTACAACTGACTTTCCTATATTCTGTGTTACAGTAACACAACTTTACTCTCTTTCAGTAATTACAGTCTTGGAGCCATGAACACAAATGTATATGTAGATGTACATGTACAAAACAGATAACATTTGTTTCTTGTAATACCTTTTTATTGGACTATAATAATTTTTTAATGACAAGCTTTTGGGAGAACCTTCCTTTCTCAAGTCTTGAGCATTTCGATCAGAAATTCTTTAGAATTGAGAAAGGGAGGTTCTGCCGAAAGCTTGTCATTAAAAAATTATGTTAGTCCAATAAAAAAGGTATTACAAGATACAAATTTGATCTGTTTCTTACATCTACATCACTGGACTAATAGAGCTATAATCTCCACTTGAACACTATGTGTGTGTGTGCATACACACACACTCACTATGTATATCAAAGAGATACATATGTGTCTATATTACCTCAATTGTTGTGTCTACATATTCAAGTGCTGGTTTGAAGTTTTCTTTAGCAGATAGAGAATTACCTGTATAGAGAGGGGTAACAGTGAGTGAAAGCAACACTTACAGGAACTATGCAACATAGTATGTAGGTTTTATAACTTTTTTATACATATTGCGTAGATTTATAAAATTTCTGTCCAAGCACAGTGTGACAGAGACGTAAGGAATATGCAGGGTGACACAATGATACAGACATAAGAAGCTATAAATCTGCCCCTTTCACTTTAGGGTGACACAGATAGAAGAAGCTATGAGTCTGTTCTTCCACCATGAAATAGCATACATTACAGGAAAGTGGTATCTATTTGTAACTTATGTTATTCATGCTAAAGCATCACATTTTTACATAGCCCAAAGAATCTGTCTATATAAGTGATTTTTAACAAGTATGCTATAGTGCATGGGTGCTTCTCAAATCAAATCATGATGTTGCATTAACAAATTGACAATTGGGTGGTAATAGCTTTAATGTCATATTTAATGGAATTCCTAACACTATATTGTCCCTCCCTTAGCTGTACTTAGAACGCCTGCAATTCGCAATACAAATCTGAAATAAATAAAATTTTACTTTCCTTTTTGCAGACTCTAGGCTACTTCGGCACTGCTCACCTCTCCATACTTGCAACCTCACAGAGGAGGCATGCCTTTCTCCACCTATGTCTAATCCATTGGGGATCAATTGGGGACATAATGCAGATGTATGGCGTGTGCAAGTACTAGGTCATACTGACAGCCACTAGAGGTGGTTTTTAACTCTGTAATGTAAACATTGCAGTATCTCAAAGTGTATTACACTGAAGGGTTAAAGGAGCACTATAGTGTTAGGAATACAATTCGGTATCCCTAGCGCTATAGTGTTCCAGTCCCTACTTGTAGTCAGGTTCTCCCTCCCAGTGTATTTTTTTTTTTTAATAAAGATTTAGCTACCTTTTTCAAGGATGAGGCAGTCTTGGTACTGCTCACCTCTCTGGCTCCAGTGACGTCTCAGAGGTGGAATGGCTTCCCATAGGAAAGCACTGCATTATTTCTTTCCTATGGGGTTTTTATCAGTCAGTGCTGCGGAAACACCTCATACTGATGATTTACTTTGCAGGGTTAAGGGGACATGGACATTGCACCCATACCACCTCATTAGGATGGGTTACAATAGTGTTCCTTAAAATATGTGGTTGTCTTTTATTTTGTCATTCAAGCAAGAAAAATACACCCAGTCGCATAGAGCAGATTTCAGGTACACAAGTTAACATATTGTTAGCTGAATAAAAAACCTTAAATAAAAAACAACAACAAAATAATTAAGAGGGGGCAACCTATGGCAATGTAATAAGCATATGCATTAAAATTGGAGTTCCACTTCATTACAATGACTATACCAAAATTATCTCAAAACAAGATTGAGAAGTTTTATGTTTAAAAAGGGAAAACGTTGATTATTGTGTTCAAGTTGTTCTAGTGGGACAAATGAGCAGGAAGCCTGGAAAGTGATTGGGAGTAAGGTTCACTTTCATACTGTTCCGAGGCCCCAAGCTCCCAATGAGGCTTTGAATTTGTTTTTCTCCCTTCAGTGGGTCACGGTGTTAATAATGTACCTGTATCTTCTTCGCTTCCACTGGTGTTGGTAATACCTCGTTCACTCCATTCATCATTACCAGCATCTTCATACCATTTATCATTCTGATCATTATTGAAAGCATCCCTAATAGAACAGAAAAGAATTGTAGCAAAATTAAAAATAACAAAATACACAAAAAGCCTTGACAGGCCTAATCACTTACTGTGTTTTACTGGAAATCCTTAGTCAGTCTACACACTGTTTCAAATTATTATGCAAACTTTATTTAAGTGTCACAAAGATTAAATATTTTGTTTTTCAGTTTAACTCATGGATGACATTGTGTTGCAGGGCTCTTTTGATCACTGAAAACAATCTAGGACACCTGTGATAATTAGATTGCCAGGTGAACCCAATTTAAGGAAAGACTACTAAAGCAGATCACCATTTTCATGCAATATGGGGAAGAAAAATGATCTCTGCCGAAAAGAGTGAAATAGTTCAATGCCTTGGACGAGGTATGAAAACATTAGATATTTCCCAAAAACATAAGCGTGATCATCGCACTATTAAGAGATTTGTTCCAACAAGGCTGCAATGTCAGCAAGGCGGTGGTGGAGTCATTTCTGGGCCGGAATCATGGGAAGAGAGCTGGTCCGCCCCTTTAGGGTCCCCAAAGGTGTAAAGATGACCTCTGCAAAGTATGTGGAGTTTCTGACTGACCACTTTCTTCCCTGGTACAGAAGGAAGAACTATGCTTTCCGTAATAAAATCATCTTCATGCGTGACAATACACCATCTCATGCTGCAAAGAATATCTCTGTATCAATGACTGCTATGGGGATAAAAGGAGAGAAAGTCATGGTGTGGCCTCCATCCTCCCCTGACCTCAATCCTATTGAG